ATAAACTTGGATTCATGATGAAAGATTTACTGACACAAGGGAGGAGCGGCTTAAACAAGTTCCCATGTGCAGCTGATTTGCATTTGAGGAATTTTCAATCGTCACTTCCTAACTGCGGGCCCTCTTGAGGCATGAACGCCTTCAGTTCCAACTTCATGTAGCCAGTGTTCGCTCATTTCTCACGCCTCCCTTCCCACCACTCCCTTTACTCGAAGACCCCCCCGCCCCGCATACTCATGGCCACCATCCTGCACCTGTTACTCAATCTCTTACCCTACTTTATTTTCTTCTTGGAGCTTATCTTTTTCCGGAACTTTTAACCTGTTTATTCTGTATTCCTCTCCCCTGCCCCCACTTCGAAAGTACAAGCTCCATGAATGCGAGGACTTTGTTTGTTTATGCTGCTTATTGTTAGCGTCACAGTGACTGGAACGGTGCCTGGTCCATAGTGGACACTTAATAAATATTTGTGGAATGAGTGGATAAAGCTATAGTCCGCCATGGAAAGACTTCTACCTCTATGATCTGGGCCAGCTGCTTCCATTTGCAGATGAGAAAATTAAGGCCCAGGGAGGTGAAGACATTTGCTCAAGGTGCCCATCAGTTGGCCCCGGGTACCCAAGTTCTCTGGTTCCGGGCAAACCCCTTTCTGCAGCTGTATGTGGCCTCTTGAGCCTGTCCAGTCCCAGCACAGCAGAGCAGGTTAAGAACATGGACTTCAGGAACCATCTGACCTGGCAGAAGTCTGAATCCTACCACTTGGGCAGGTGTTGCTCTACCTCTCTGAACCTGTTTTACCCACATATAAGCCAATGATAAAATGAAACCTACCTAGCAGCACTGCTGTAAGCCTTAAATGAGATAACACAGTCTACATGCTTTGCATAGGGCACAGAATACATTTTCCTTCAGTACTAGGTATTGCTATTCCTTCCTAAGAACCAGCAGTGGGCATCACATCTTTTCTGACTTGTGGTAAGTGGGAATAATCTCTCACTTAATTTTAAGCTATAGATGCTGCAAAGTACTAGGGGATATGTTCATGCATGATGGAAAAAAGGGGGAAGGGGCTCCCCTGTATGGAAGGGAGAAAAGCATATGGAAAAAACTTGTCCCTCTGCTCATTACATCCTACTTTCCTCATCCACAGGCTGAACTCCACCGCAGGCTCCACGCTGCTGCTGCTTGTGTCTGACATCCGAAGATTCATTCCCTGGAATCAGAATGAGGTTAAAACAGTCCATGCTCCGTATAGGTGTATGAGTGAGAAGTTGAAGGAAGGTTATCCGGGACACCCACCCCTTCTTTTTCCCTCGAATAATGGTAGATTAGTTTGCAATTCATGTCTTTCTTAATGAATAGTCCCTGCAGGTCTCCTATGTGCCAGGCCCTGTCCTAGGCAGGGGAATGGCTTTGTCTATGAGGACCAGAATGGACGGGCTCTCCCTGCTTGTTTCAGGCACAGAAGTGCTCCTAGGCCAAATGCTTTCCGGGGCAGAGTATTCATTTCCTCGGGCTGCCATAACCAGGGTGGCTCAAAGCAACAGAAATTCACTGTCTCACCAGTCTGGAGGTAGAGAGTCCAAAATCAAAGCATTGGCAGGGTTGGTTCTTTCTGAGGATTTTGTGAGCGAATCTATTCCAGGCCTCTCCTAGTTCCTGGTGGTTTTGTGGCAATATTTGGGGTTCCTTGGCTTGTAGATATTTTACCCTGATCTCTGCCTTCATCATTACATGGCTTTCTCCCTGTGTGTGTGTCTGTCCCTGTGCCCAAAGTTCCCCTTTTTATAAAGATGTCAGTTGTATTGGATTAGGGCCCACCCTAATAACCTCACCTTAACCTGATCATCAGCAAAGACTCTGCTTTCAGATCAGGTCACGTTCACAGGTACTAGTGGTTGGGACCTCAATTTTGGGGGGAAGGCACAATTCAACCCATAACAAGCACCCCTTCAGCCTCAAATAGCACCTGGAGCCACTCCTACAGAATGTGTTCTCTTGGCTTTATGAAGTGAGGCTCTCAGCGTCTCAGTACCATGTGCGCATGCATGCAGCCCAAGGTTCCATTTTCTGTTGCCCAGGCTCTGTAGGTCCCCAAGAGGGTTGAGGTGAGTGAGGTGCTTGCCTCAGACACAAAAACTAATGCAAACATATCCACGGTGAGCAAAATGTCAAATTTTAAAATAAGGACAGGATCCAACAGGGCCAGGATTAGGGTGAGGTGAGCAAGGTGAATCATGCAAATCCGGGGTTGGGGCCTGCCTTTATTTAAAATTTGGATATTTTGTTCACTATGGATGCTTTGTATTAATTTTGATTTTAAAATATGTTGCATGAATATATGATTTATCTTAGTGCCCCCTTAAAATTTGTACTAGGGGAGAATCTTTCACTCAATCGTCCCTGGTTCTGGCTTTTTGGTGTGGATCCTGGGGAGGGTGGTGGCGGGCAGACTGGGGTCTGAGACCAGCCTCATAACTGAGAGTCAGGACATCTGGGCCTTCGTCCATGCTCCACTAGTAATTACCTATTCATTGTTGAGTTACTTCCTCTTTCTAAACTTCAGTTTCTTTGAATGCAAAATTATGTGAGTAGACTCCATGATTTTAAGGTACAAAGTAAGGGTACGATGCAGTGATGCTTACCAGAGCTCTGGCTGGAGATCAGGTGAGTTTCTCCTCCGATCCTCTCTCTGCCATTCACTGACTGTATGACTTTGAACAAGTCACCTTCCAATTAGACAGAGGCAGGCTTCCTTATCTCTAGCAGTTAGAGTGAAAGTGAAATGGTCTGCAAGACTCTTTTGAGTTCTGCATTTCTCTGATCCTTTTTCTGTTTGAAAGCAAACAAGAGTATCCACACGCCACCAGCAGTGCTGGCAGCCAAGTGACAGTTTCAAGGAGCCATATTTTAACAAAAGGACTTACTCAAGAGCAAAGTTAATTATCTGGCAATATGTCAGGAAGCCTCCTTTACAGGGAAAGAGAATCCAATGTCAAACAGACAACATCTAACTATTGTTTAATTTTGAAACACCCTCATTAGAAACTTGAGCTCACGTATTTTGTTGTTGAAAGAAAAGCACAGATCAGGGCTTCGGGGTTTTTCACTGACATGTTGGCATTCCATCCAGTGACAGAGACGGAGCCCTCATGGAAGTTCAGCGTGAGCGCTATGCAACCTTGAGAGAGGCTCATCCTACTTTGAAATTCTTTTTGTCACCCATGAAGTAAGGACAATGAAGCTGGCTCATGGGTTGCTGCAGAAATCAAGTAAGGTATGAGTATATGTGAAATGGAAGTTTAAACAGAAGAGTTTACGTAAGTTATGAACTCTCCTTCAAAATTACTGGAGAGCAATTAGAAAGTGCATATCAAAGATATTTTATATGACTCAGTAACCCAGCCTCCAGGTAGAAAGCCTGGGAAACTAATTAAGAATGTAGACAAAGATGTAGTTGTTGCATATGTATTGCAGCATTTTTATAATGAAAACAAAGAAGCAGAAGGCCAGCTTAATGATGCAGTAACAGAGAATTGGTCGAATATATTGTAATACTTCCATTTAGTGGAATATTATGGAGATGTTGAAAATGACTTAATGGAAACTTATTCATTGGGGTGCATAGATTCTTAGAACATATCATCAAGTGAAAATTACAAGGTGAAATATATTATAAGCCCACATTTGTAAAAATGTGCCTGAGTTATCTCTGGGTGGTAGTATAATAAGCTTTATTCCCCCCTCTGCTTTTTTTTTGTTTACCTGCACTTTCTGATTTTTCTGCAATGAACATATGTATATATGACATAACATTCTTAAGGCAATCATAAAAACAAATATAGATACATCCAAGAAATTGCTCTTTTGAAAATAGTATTAATCTCATGTTTAAATATTAGCAAATATCAGAGATTTCTTTTTTTTTAATTTTTAAGAAATGGCATTGTGAGGGATTTTAATCTAGAAGATTGTTTTCATTTTTTTCCAAATTTTCCTACTCCTCATTCTTTTGCTGAGCCCTCTGCTTATACTCATTCATATTGATTCATTCACTTATCTTTCCAACACTTACTGAACACTCATGTCCTGGGCAGTGCCATAATATGGGAACACAGCGGCCCCCTAGCTGCATTCCCTCTCAACGTCCCCAACACAAACTCGAACCACCTCCCGAGCTCCAAGCCTTGGATCCGTCACCTTTCATTCCACTCTGCACCCATCTTGTCATAGCTGCAGCTGACAGTCATCTCCAGCTTCCCAACACGCTCTCCCCCACAAAATCCCACTCCCTTCAGGTTCTGATTTTACTCCTTCCTCTTCACTTCCACAACCGCAGCTTGGTGCAAGCTCTGGGCACCTCCTTCGTCATGTCATCCAACTCCAAGCTTTTCTTGGTTATGCTCCCCAGTCATAACATTTCTGAACATCCAAGCCCATGTACATATTTATTTATTTATTTATTTTTAAAGTTTGTATTTTTTTAAAGATTTTATTTATTTATGTTTAGAGAGGGAAGGGAGGGAGATAGAGAGAAAGAGAGAAACATCAATGTGCAGTTGCTGGGGGTCATGGCCTGCAACCCAGGCACGTACCCTGATTGGGAATCGAACCTGTGACACTTTGGTTTGCAGCCTGCGCTCAATCCACCCATGTGCATATTTATAAGTCACTTACACGCACCTCTTCCAGTCCATGTAGTAAATATTAAAATGCTAATTTCTCTAAGATTTTTTTGAACAATGTAAATCTAAATGAGCATCATAATATTTTCTTCACACACTCAAGTGCACCATCTGGAACATTTAGGGATCTTTGCTCTCTCCTACAGTTCTAAACAAGATGGCAAAAGTGACCTTTTCAGGTTTTTATTTATTGTGAACTTTATCAATGTAACTGCTGGTAGGTTTACACTGACTTTCTATTACCCAAAAGTGCCCTAGCCCTGGTTTCAAGGACTATTGCTCATTACACCCTTGTTTTCATCCCTGAACAGGTCTTAGCTGGTTTTAAGCTGAGGTCGTTAAACTGGGGTTTCACACTGTGTGTTTTGTGTGAGGAGTCCCGTGATCAAATAAGTTTGTGGAGCCCTGCCAATTTCAGCTCCTTGTGGGAGAGTCCAAATGCAAATCAGCGCCCTAAAGATCCCGAGAAGGCTTCCGGGGAGATACCTGGTCACCTTTTCCGAACAGAGCATCTCCCAGGATTACTCAGCTCTTTATTGTGTAAAAGGTATCCACGCACTTCAAAACTAGTGTTAGCCTAAGGAACTCTGGAGAACGCAAACTCACACAGCTCGCTGACGTCTGCCTGCATCACCACACGTTTGTACGGTCACTGAGAATGACTCCGTCCTTCCTGTGAGCCACGCCGCCTTCCCTACGCCGGAATCCACATTTCCTCCTTAATGAGATCAAGCCAGGTGAGCCATGGTAACCCACCAAAACACAGTTAGTTCATTTTGATGTATTTATTTACTTTCAATGAAAAACTTTAGAAATTACTTGGCATTCACTATTATATTGGTCTCACTAATATAGAGACTATTATATTAGCACAGTGATTAGACATTTATATGGCTTATAAAGAGATCCACCCCCGCCCCCAATAAACCTAGTACCCACCTGGCACCATACATAGTTATTACAGTATTATTGACTATATTCTCTATGCTGTGCTTGACATCCCCGTGACTGTTCCGTAACTGCCAATTTGTCCTTCTTAGTCCCTTCACCTTTTCCACCCAGCCCCCCAACCTCCTTCCCATCTGGTAGCTGTCAGTTAAAATCCCCGTGAGTATAGAGCCCTTCTGGTCTCTAGCGCAGAGCTCTGTCTGTGATAGGGACAGGGACGTGGTAGTTTTTTAAAAGCACAGGTCACATATGTCATTCCTCCACCCAGAACCCATCAGTGGCTTCCCAAAACATGCAGAAAAAAAATACAGACTCCTTAGAGCCCAGGGACCTGACCTTTCTGCTTCTCTGACCTAAATTCTAGACCTTTCTTCTTTCTAGTCACACTGGTGTTTCCCCAAAGATGCCAAAGTCACTCTTATTTCAGGGTCTTTCCACTTTCTCTCCCCTTCACCTGGGACACTGTTCGCCCAGAATGTCACATGGCTTACTCCCTGTCCCCATGCAGGTCTCCGTCATACATGACCTTCTCAGGGAGGTCATCCTGGACTTCCGGGCTTCAGGCCCCCACTTCCTCCACTGGCTACTTTCTGACTGCTTCTCTGCTGCTTTTTCTTCACAGTGTTACCACTACCTTCGTTATGTCATATAATCTTGGGTCATGTAAAACCCAAGAGAGAAGGGGATTTTCCTGCCTTCGCCAGTCTATCCCCAGAGCCTGGAAGAATGGCTGGCACGTAGTAGGAATTTAAGAAATATTTGTTGAATGAGTGAATAACTATAAATAGTTCACCAAGGTTCAGATTCTGGTAGTTTGCATGACTTAGTAGAATAACTGGGTGTCTGTTTATGTTTCTCTCTCCTACAGAGCTAATTGTTTTAATAAATGGGACTCCCTGATTATTTCTGTAATTACACTCATCTCAACAACCCAACTAGCAGACCATAAATTTGGGAAGAAAGGGATAGTATTTTATTTAGCATTCCAAAGCTCATAGATGCAAGCACAGGACCTTAAAAATAAAAGGCACTTGTAGCCCTGGTCATTGTGATTCAGTTGGTTGGAGCATCATCCCATAAACTGAAAAGTCATGGGTTTAACTCCTAGTCACGGCACATGCTTAGGTTATGGGTTCAATCCCCAGTTGGGACACATATGAGAGGCAATCAATCAATATTTCTCTCTCACATCAATGTTTCTCTCTCTCTCCCCACCCACCACTCTCTGTGTGTCCCTTTCCCTCTCTCCAAAATCAATAAGCATGTCCTCGGGTGAAGACAAAAAACAATAATAATAAAAACAAATAAATGAAATCCACTGTAAACATGCTTCCTTATAGGTCTGATTAGCACAGTGTATTAAATGCTTTGAAATACAAAGTATTTAATAAATTGTTCGATAGTAACAAAGCTTTATTCTTCAAGGTGAAATGCAGTTTTACCCTGAAGGAGTGAGGCTGAGCCACCCTTTCCAGATAATTCAAGAAGCTGTCAGCGGCTGAGAGGAAAACCGGGAAGTAGGACTGGGGAGAAAGGAGAGGCAGTGTCCTGTGGGGTGAGCTGAGGATTCAAGGAAAGAAGAAGTTCAGGAAAAGCACTGTGGGAAAATATGTGAGGGAGAAGACTGAGAAAGGAACAGGAGGCTTGACTCAGGGTGGCATGGGGCGCTGCTGCTCAGGGTGGGGAGAGAAAGTCGCCTGAGGTGAACCCTGGAGACGCCGGGATGGGCTCAGCCCCTCTTCTCCCGGGCAGCCTGGGGAGTTCCAGAAGGACTTTTCAGGTTCCCTCCTTTGGGCTCAACACTGCCCTTTCCTGAGTGGGTGGGTAGCTCCATGTTCTGCTACTTGCTTAGGGTGCAGTAAAGCTGTGTCTGTTTGGGGAAGTCGGGAACTTAGTGGGTCTGCAAGGTAGACCAGGCCTACATTTCATTCAGCCCCTTTACTTTCTGCCCGCAGAGTCAGGGGTCACGGACCCTTGTGCCTCAGTTTCCACAACTCCACAACCCCCACTTCAGAAGAGCGTTGTTAGAATTAGATATAGTTTTTTAAAAATTAAATTCATTTGGGGTCACATTGGTCAATAAAATTATGTAGGTTACAAATGCACTATTTTATGATGCATCATCTGTACATCGCACTGTGTACCCCCCACCCCAGAGCCCAATCTTCTTCATCACCATATATTTGCCCCCCTTTACCGTTCTCTAACCCCTGGTCCCCCCTTGCCTCGGGTAACCACCGTACTGTTGTCCGTGTCTACGAGTGTTTGCTTGTTTTTCTCGTTTGCTCATTTGTTGCTTTCAGTTTTATATCCCACATCAAAAAAGAATTAGATATAGTTTCTAACCCAGGCCACTGGACTTCCCTAACACATATATTATAGCCTGAGCATTGTGAATGGCTATACTAAAAAAAAAAATTCAAACCCTGGCTATTGGTTATTGCTGTGAAGAGAACTGTGTTCTAGAAAGCTCTCCACAATCGGTGGAGCTTTTGGCGTTCGGCAGGCAGCGTATATTACTATTGCTGCTTGCTAGGGGCCCAGTAATGGCTTCATACTCGGCCCAGCTCATTGGGTTAGCTTCCGGCTTGTTCTCTTTCCATCTCTGTCATTATTCACATCCCTGTGGCCTTATTCACTTTGCACTGAATGACACTTAGCAGTTTGGACCACGTGCTTCTCACTTACATGATCTCATTTCATCTTTATAGCAAACCTATCAGGTGGTCGCTCTTATTATCCCCATATTACAGATGAGGAAGACTGAGGCTTGCGTACAAGATGTGGTTTCCTCAAGCCCACATGGATTTTCTACCTCTGAAATCTGTCTTCATGTGTTTGGCATGACAAATACTCCTCCCACCTTCCGCTGAACCGTGGTGTTGATGGAATAGTAGAGGTAACTATGCCTCGGCCACGTGGAAGAGCTACATACGGTGTGGGCCCTGGGAGGCGAGGGTGAGGATAGAGGAAACTGGGATGACCTGGCTTTGAATCTTGGCTCTGCCCACTGGGAAAGTTACCTAACCTCTCTGAAACCCCACTTCCAGCTGCTTACTCTCCACTCCTGAAAACGTAGAATAATTGTTTTCACTCACAGGGTCATTAGGAGGATTAACAGGGACAGAGCATCTGAGCATTAATCTTAGCTTAAAATGTGCTGAATTAATTAGGAATTACTTCATCTTTTATTTCATGCAATTTATCATCGGTGCACAAAACACCTATTTCTCTCTACTGCAAGGAGGACGCCTCTCTTGGCAGCCTGCGGTAGGCGTGGTGGAGCCCCCTGAAGGCTGGAGGAGCCCGGCCCGGTGGTTAGAGAGAAGAGGCTGAGTCACAAAAACCGTTTCCGAAGTGAGTCACGTTGCGGCTCGCGTTTTGCCTCAGTAGGAGTCAGAGCTGGAAAGCAGGGAGGCAGACCCACTGGTGGAGAACGGGTTGGGGCTGGGACCTCTGCTTTCTGTGGTGAGCAGCTCCGTGCGGACCACGTGGTACTTCACTGGGTGAATTGTTTCAGTTTATTGTGGCTTCTGATGTTTACATGTTTCCAGCTTCTTTCTTTTACTCCTCCAGGATGCTCTTGGAAACATCAGCATTCCTGCTGTGTGTTCTCGGTCAGGTCTCTTCCCCACTCTGGGCCTCATTCACACAACCTAAATGTGGCGACTGTGTCTGCAGTCCCAAAGGTTTATTGTCCATCGGTGTCCAGACCCTCTGGCATGGGGGCTGCAGGCTCAGGTGTGTTCTTTCTATGCGAAGGAGAAAGAATGACAGGATCCCACTTCCCATCTTTTCCTGGATGCTGACACATCGCCCTGTGATTTCTGACTGGTCCCAGGGCACCCCATGCCAGTCTGTGGTTTTCCAGCCGGCTTGCAGCCCCGCCATCCTCCTGGTAGGGGGAAAATGGTGCTGGTGCTGGACAGAGTTAGCATTTTCAAGGGTCCAGATATCTAGGGGCCACTTGCTTCTCAAGGTCCCAGGTGGTGGCTCAGAGCCAGATGGATGGCCTCGGCATCAGACACCACCACTTGTCAGGAGTCACTTCCCATTTATGGCTGGTTGTTGTGGTTACCGAACAGATAGACATATATGGAATTGTATTTCTTTCTCCCTCCCTCTCCTTCTCTCTCTCTGTCATTTTTTTTAATAGTGAGGTGGGGCCCTTATGAGATTAGCTTAGCACCATGAGTCACTGGGTACGGGACATGTTTCTATTTGTCTTAGCATTTTGTTATTGTTATCAAAGTGTGCACGGCCCTTGGATACGGAGCCATGCTTGACCACCTCTCCTCCTCCAAATGGCCTCCACATCCCCATATATGTCACAAGCATTGTGAGGAATGGCTATGTAGCCATTTGGTACCTCACCAGTTTGCAGGCCTACAATGGTCAAAGAGTTTGGAGAATTTTCAGAAAGGGGCAGATAGAGAGAACATAGAACTGGTAATCAGGGGTCTAAGCTCAAGTAATAACCATAACATACATTTTGAGTCAAAGATTTCATCCTTTTAAGAGAGCAGGGTGATGGGTAGGGCATGGGAGAGTAATGGAGGTGAAATGGGGACAACGGTAATTGAACAACAACAAAATTTAAAAAAATAAATAAATAAAAGTAAAAAAACAAAACAAAAAGAAATTAAGTTCATTTCCCTTGCCAGGTCTGGTGAAATCGGCAGCACGTGCCAGATGGGATGTGCTGAGAATGATGGGGCACCACGCGGGCCCCGGGGAAGAGGATGCTCTGGGAAGGTGTCAGCACCGGGGCTCTGCATGAAGAGCACTGGGTTTGACTGGCCATGTCTGCCTAGGCTCTTGGGCCAGGAATGTCGGGGGAGCGGAGTATGTGCCGTTCGGGTAACAGATGACCTCTAAAGTCCCATCTAGCTCCAGACCCTGCCCAGTTAGACACTAAAGAAGATAAACTTACCCAGATCTGTCACCACTTCAGTTTTCCCAGCGGGATTTAGTCACCAGGGCACCTCATCATCACACACTACAGGCAGAGTGAATGTCCCTGGGACTTTTGGCCAGCACCCATTACATCTGATTAAAGGCTCCGAGTAAGAACAACTGGAGGTCCAAGCTGCTATAGAAGAGATGTCCCCCACAATCCTCAAGGGGGCCGAATGTAGGATGGGCAACAGCGTGTGCCGTTTGGGACAAAAGTACATTCCAAATGCTATTTTCGTACCATAAATTGCAAAAACCTGTCCACTTTCCCTTCCCCCAACCCCTTCTGGCACTTGGCACATGGTAAGGGCACGTGTCTAAAAAGGGGTAAGAAACATTGCCAGCCATAAGCTGAGGCAGCCTTTTGAGAAGTCTGAACGATGTTTGGGTAGAGACAGGAGGAGCCGGCTTGGCAGAAAGTGACGAGGGAATCTTTGATAAGCACAAACTCCAATAAACCACCTGGGTTTGGGGGCTGCTAAAAATTGAACTAATCTCCACTAGATTAATGAAAGTATGATGAATATAAAACCCTCTCATCCTCTAGCCTAGCAGGCCTATGTTCGGACAATCATATTCAGATCTAAGCATCACTTACCAGAACGGCGAGATGGTTTGCAACCACCCGAGACTCTCTGCACATTTGGAAGATTGAGAAGAAGAGGAGAATTGGGGAACCACAGGGGATTGTAGGGTTCCCTCTGGGTGTCACTGCCGAGCCCCATTTCCTCCTTCTAGGTGGGGTTCCTCTGTAGTGACATAGTTTGTGCTCCCTGGGAAAAGAGACCCTAAGATGGAAATTTGCTTGGAGTGTTCTTCAGAGCAACAGCTGTGCAGGAGGAAAGCAGGCGGGATTGGGTGGGGGGAGACGGTGGGCTGCAGCGTCGGACAACAAAGACCTCAGCCCACTCCACGGGGAGCTCTGGGGCTGCAGCAGCCCTTTGGGGTTGTCCCAGATGGAGGCACAGAGAAAGGCCTCTGTGTTACCAGTCATTGGATGCGGGCTGGCTACGACCCGGAAGGGCATAGCATGAGCAGGCAGCTCCCTTTGCTCAGAGGAATGACTCAGCCGTGAGCCCCAGCAGGCAGCACTTGTGGCATTTGGGGGAGTAAATGTCAGTGTATTGGTCCTGAGTCTGATGTCACATTGGGGGACCCATCACAGCACCCATGACAACGAGGACAAGGACATCGCCACCAGTGGCCCTAGATTTATATTTTTCTAAACCTGTGACTTCAGAGAGAAAAGAGGACCAATTCTGGCTTTAGTTTTTAAAAGTGTTGGAAAAATACTATGACTGGATTTGCCCTGGTCTCCGACTCTGGCCACATGTTAAGGAATGTTGATCTACTGATTTTGAATCTTATTGACCTTGGTGGCCAGGTGGGTGGATCTGGTTAGCAGAAGAAACAGTGAAGAACTATCGTGAAGGGACAGCCACCCAGCTTCTGTCACACCCCCTGTCCCAGGAATGAGGGAGCTCATCGGTTCTGTGCGGCACAAGAAGACAAAAACAGAGCGTGTTCAGCTCTACGGAAAGTTGATTCTCCTTTTGTAACTAAAAGTGCTTTCTGTGGAGAAGAAGCTTCCAGAACTGGAAGTATTCCAGCAATGGCCATGTGTGTATGTGTCTCTCTCTCCAGTACCCTGTAGAGAGACCTTCTGTGTTTGGGTTGTATCAGAATTAAATGAAGAGCTTTAAAAAGAAACTGATCACTGGGATCCATTATTAGACAACCTGATTCAGTAGGTCTGGGGTGTGGGTGCACCCCAGAGCTCAGTATTGTTTTAAAAGCTTCCCATTTGAGTCCCCTATGCTGACATGTTTGGAAACCCCAGCATACCAAGCAGGTATCAGCAACACTGCTCTGGTCAAATTGTGGGTGTGTTTGCAGCAGCGTGTCACTGTGCATGGGGGGGTGCGGGTGCAGAGGAACTACTTGCTTGTCTGCCCTGTCAGCCCTCCCCCCAAAGTTTGCCCCTAAGCCACCTCTGAGGAAGAGAATTTAAAATCCAGCAGACTGCATTGCTAGACTATCTCCCAGCCATTCAACTCACGGACCCCACGGATATTTCAGGTAGAATAAACCAAGCTGCTGGCATTTCTAAACTGGGCCTATTTGGTGAGAAGAGATTTCTTAAACCTGTGTTATGCATGAATGCTCCCTCAGGCTTGCATAAGGGACAACTAATTGTGAGTCCCCAATTAACAAAGGGAAGTGAGCGCTTTGAAATCTCTAGAGTCACAACAAATCTCTTCCGATTCAGTGGAGGAGACAACTGGAAAGGAACCAAAGATATTCCTCCTTTTTTTTTTAAAGTGCGCGCTCACATAACACCACATGGGAATTGAAAATAGGCTCTTTTTGAAACTGTTAACCCTTGTCTTCGGCTCTTCCTGTCATTGTCAATGTGCAAATAGAGATTTTATTCAGTTCTAATCCCTGGGTTTATCCAATCTATTGTTTTGTTTTTTCCACTTCTTATTATTTTGTATATGCGTCTATATAGCCTTTCTAGTTCTTTCTTTTATGACTCCATAGTACTCCATTGCTTTACTGTGCCATGCTGGACACATTGTCATACTCTAGTTCGGGACATTTGGGTGGTTTCCATTTTGTCATAGTGCCTGGCAATGCCAGGTGTCACCTTGTACCTGTGCTCACCTGTGACTTCCCCAACACCAGCATCCCCTACTCCAAAGCTGTTTCCCTGACTACAAGCCTCTCTCTCAGTTCACTCAGTCCCCTGACACGTGACCAATGTCCCACCTGTCTGGCTCAGCCACCCACCTGCCTTTTCCAGCACCACTGAGCAGCTACCGGTCACTACTGCTGTGTAAGGTTTTCAGCATTAGCATATAAAGATTCCCCAAGAAGTGTCTGCTCTTTGGGTCATGGCTGTGATGGTCCATCATGCCCGCTGAATTCGGGGTCAGGCTCTTACTCATCTTTCTCCAGCCCACCGACCAGGAGTGTCTGTCTCACAGACATCATTCCAAAGTTACTGCTCAATGAATGGGAGATTGTAACACTCATTATTTTTTTATCAAATATTGTTTTGCATGTTAAATAACAATCTTTTGTAACTTTTTTAATATAAAAATCACACTGAATTCCTAGAGGCCAGAAAATAATTTATCTTTCCTTTTATTATCAATGAGTCTGATTCTGTCAAAAGTTGACAGAGAATTTTATCGGGGGTCTTTCTGATGGTTTTTGCTTTTGTTTATCACATGAGTAGTTTCCTTTGAAGTTTTCCAATTTTGCAATGGTAGGGTGAACTGTGCTTAATCAGAGAACGATTCCCCCTGGCTGGCGTAGCTCAGTAGATTGAGCGCGGGCTGGGAACCAAAGTGTCCCAGGTTCGATTCCCAGCCAGGGTACATTCCTGGGTTGCAGGCCAGAACCCCCAGCAACCGTACATTGATATCTCTCTCTCTCTCTCTCTCTCTCTCTCTCTCTCTCTCTCCCTCCCTTCCCTCTCTAAAAATAAATAAATAAAATCTTTAAAAAAAAAAGAGAGAATGATTCCCCTACCACATGGATGAATTCTATTTGCTTACACTCAATTCAGAATAATCCCATAATAAAACCCATTACTTAAAGTCATTTCTTGTTATTTGAAAGCATGGAGTTTTTTTTTATTTTGGTAAAATTTGAAGGAAAAATAACCTGTAATAGTCATTTTTTTTGCTGCAACAATAACAGTACTTTAAAACTTTTTCCAAGTATTCCCTTGGTTCATTAGTCAGTTTATATCTCTATTTCTTTGGGGGCTCAATTTTGGTCATTTCTAGTTTTATAAAGTCTTCCCCATGCCACTTGAAAATTCCTCACAGATTATTGTCATTTATTATCTATTAACTTATTTAAAAAACAGAAGCTAGTCTGAGCCAGGTGCACACAGTGAGAAAGAAGACGAACACTGTCCCTGTCCTTTTGGGGCTACTAGTATTGTGCACTCAAAGAAACAACTATTAACCAATAAAATTACAGAAGACATCATGTTATCTCATCTGCAGTGAGTGTTATAAATGTGCTGGGAACGTATGCAAGGCCAGTCTAGCCCAGTTTTCTAGGGGAACTGAGTATAGTAGTTTATCATGAAGGCATGCAGCATATCTATGTTTAATATGAATCAGCCCATACTGGAGGAAGTCAACATTTTTATTTAAAATGTTAAATCAAATCCCTAAGAAAACTGAGGCCCAGAAAAGTTCAATGACTTGTAGTGTTCTGTGAGCAAAGCCAAGATTATAATTTAAATCTGAATTATATTCAGTGGTCTCTTTTAAACTGTGCCAATCCTTACAACGCGCGCACATGCACACGCACACACACACACACATGCACCTGTACCTGTATGTGCAGATATATGATACAGGACTTAAAAGAATAAAAAGTACATTTTATGAGATAGGAGTCCATTTAAATGTTGGATTGCACCCATACATGAAGAATACATTGTATTTAATCCCAGCTCTTTACCTAGGTCATCACAGGTCACCTGAATTCTTTTCTGGAACTGGGTGAGTTATACATCACTGGTTATGGACTGGTTATTTCATCTATGCCTGGAAAGTCTCAGCTCCTGAATCTAGGGAACTCTTTCCTGCTGCTATTCCCCTTGTTGGGGCAGCTGCCTCCCAGGCCTCCCTTCAGGGCCTGAGAGGGTTTTCACGGTGAGGAAGTTTTACTGACTCACACAGCCCTCACCCTCGGGGACTCCCGGGGCTCAGTGGCCAGGATGTCAGCTGTGACTCCTCCTGCATGCCTCACAGGGTGTTCCTCGTGCTCGGTGAAGAGGTCTGCTCTCAGGACTGGCAGCCTCTCCTCTGAGTCGGGGCCATGCAGGAAAACCATGTTTAGGGGTATAGACCATGCCCTCTCCTGGAAACTTTTGGAAAGCAGATCACCAAATGGCAGGTTTAATTTCCTCAGTAATGGCTTCTTTGTTGGTAAACAAGTATTCTGCATCAATCCACTCCAGTGTAGGAGCAACAGTAGCTGGAAAAGCAAAGGTCCAGCTATCAACCGTCACTAACGTTCAAGGTTAGTACATCATGCTTACTCCCCTAGAAAAACAATCACAAATGTACTGTGTCCATCGATCATTGCAAGCGGCTCCACCTGCTATAAATAACGCACCCAGATCATGAAACTCCACTATGTCATTAGGCTGCCATCACCGGTTGATCATTGGATTCCTGTAGAAAATGAGAAAGCAAATGAATTTGGGGACTGGCTGCATGGAGGGTGAACCTTGGCTTCATCCCTGCAAGCAGATCACCTGGGAAAGTCACATAGTCTCTCCTGAGCCTTGTTTCCATCCTCCGTGAAACGGGAATGACACCTGCACGAAGGGCACTCTGCGAGGGCTAAGGAGTGTGAGGAATAGAAACCACCGCACACAGGGCCTCTGTGCTGCTGACACTCAGTGAATACCAATCTGCCTATCTCCGCCTTTCCCCTTAATTTTTCAAATATAGAAAGTCTGGAGAATGGTTTCTATGACTCAAATCTCTGAGAATAACTAATTTTATAATTGTGAATGTTTTATGGGAATAGATTTAAAAATACTAAGCCAGTTGTTTTTCATTTCAAGTAACCGCTAATAGTACCTAAAGTTTTAATAGCCCATAGTGAAGCAAAACATAATCTGATAGGGAAGTATCGTTTATTTGCAAAACAAAACAACAACATCTCATTGAGAGGGGAAAAAATATTTCCCGAACTTGGGCTTTATGTGTAAAGAGCTAAGCCAGGAAAACCACGGCATAGATTATATATCATCCATGCATTTAGAGGGATGAGGATATGAAACAAGGGGAAATCCTGCCAGGCCAGGTCAGGCCAGGGAGTAGTGCAATGTACCCGGGGTCAGGGTAGGAGGCAGGTGGAGACACTTCAGAGGTTTGGGAGGCACCAGGAGCAGGGGTAGATCCCAGGAAGTGGAAGGGGAAGGCTGTAAGCTTCACACTTGGCAAGGCACTGGCACCTCTGTCCATGTGGCAGATCAGTAGAAAAGTGGATTCCTGAGGGAGGTGTCTGGGGGCACAGGGGTGGAGGCGGGAGCTGGGGGAACGCTGGTCACCTCAGTTTAATAGAGTTTCCAGGCTCCCCACTCCAGAGGGCAGTGTGAAAGAGCTGAGTGGTGTGACAGAGGGACTGGGTTGTGCTGAGAATGTTCTGGATTGCAGACATCTCCCAATCAGGGTCCCTGGTTGGTCACCAGACATCAACTGTGGGTGCCAGTGGCATGTGCTCACCCAGGTCAGGGACTCGCATCCAGCTGAGACCAGGGGATGGCTCCAGGGCCAAGGAGCCTCAGTGTGGTTCTGGGTTCCAGCCCAAGGCTTTGACACTCCTTCCTGCCCCAGGTGCCATTGCAAAAGGAAGAGGCGTGGAGTACCCTGCGTGGGAAGAAGAGTCCTGACACGGAGTTTGACTTATGCACCACTTCAGCTGGCACCTTGGGTGGGAAAAGTCCTAAGTTTTAAAACAAAACTAACTAAATTTCTGCACCTATGTCTTTGGAGGAGAGGAAGCTTAGAAAGAAAATTGAATTCTGTTAGCAAAATAAAGAAATAACCATTTCTGCCCATTTGATTTCTTGAGAACGGTTTCTATAGCAGCATC